TTTATGTTCTCCTACATTATAAGATGAAAGTAAAATAAAGCGTTTCATTGGGAGTTTTAATGATTACGAAAAAAATACTATTTTATTTCTAAAGATGAAATAAAAAATAAACTTATATAATAATATAAAACCATGCTTCCTGAATGTGCGTGTTATTTTTAGTGAGATGGTGCTCAGGTACGGTATTAGAGGGTTTATTATCTTTAGGCTTTCTTTGTTGCAGAGGAAAGATTTTGGAAATAATTTGTTTATGACCAGGTTGTAGAGATATTGATATTTGGAGTTAGAATATCCGGCATTGTGCATTGCTCTTTTGTTAATTTGTAATTCTTCATCTATTAATGTCTGGAAAGATGGAATGAGGAGTGCTCTCCGAATAAGTGAAGTAATAGCGGAGTTAACAAAGCTCGGGGGTTGGAAAGCAGTTACAGGGATAATATCTGGCCCTCTGTTGTTTTTGTGGTGCACCGCAAAAGTTAGCTCTGGATATCTATGCACTTCTAAATCTAAAAAGGAAATTGTGTTTTCTTGCTCCTCTTCTACAGTGAAATTTATAGTAGGATATATTGAAGCTAGCATTTGAATAAATTTGTCTAAATCCTCTGCAGAGCTATCCCATGCAATCAAAATATCATCAACGTATTGTAGATACATGATAGGATAGTGGATTGTTAAAGGTGCATGAAAAATACGATTTTCTATATTCCTCATGATGAGTTCTGCTAAAATAGGTGACAAGGGGGAGCCCATTGGAACACCCTGGGTTTGTTTGTATATTTTGCCATTGAATTGAAAATAGTTGTTTTCTGTGATAAATAAAAGAGCCTCACGCAAATGTAATACATGTAATATGGGATGTCCAGAACTCAGTAGAAGTGCATTAGCAAGCATGACAGCTTCAAAATGTGGTACCGATGGATATAATGAAATAACGTCTATTTTGTACAACCGGTACGAGTTAGTGGGAAGGCTACCTAGTGTAGCTACAATGTTAGCTTTAGCATTTAAAACAGCGTTGGTTACTAAGTTGGACGGAGGTACTAAAGCAGAGAGATGTTTTGCTAGTGCTGTTTCGAGGAAATATGTAGGATGTGAGCGTTTATTAATTAAAGGTCTTAAAGGCCAATCAGGCTTGTGTGTCTTCACTTCAAAGAATAATCTCGGGCAAGCAATATTCACTGGCGGATTAAGAGAACCAGTTAAAGAAGCTGTTACCCCTGTGAGTGCTATAATCTTACGTGTCTTCCTTAGTATAGTTGGCGTCGGATCATCTTTCAGTGTAATTGATTCAGACTGTTGAAGGAATTCATTGGATCTTGATAGGAAATCCTGATTTTTGCATAACACAAATCTTTTATCTTTATTTGCTACCAACAAATTTAAATGATTGCTTGTAAGATACGATTTAACTACCATAGCAGTTTGTGCATTTGATTTGCTGGATTTCGAACTTCGTTTTGATGCTATGTTGGTTATTGCAGAAAGCTCCAATTTAGGTTGTAATTCCGGACAGCAGGTGTTCTTTATAGCAGCAATGGTGGGAGGAATGAGTTGTGCATAATCAAACATTGGAGTAGGTATATGTTTCGGACCTCGTAATATTATTTGATGAATATTTGCTGGTACGTTTGCATTTGCAAAATAATAATATGGAACTTCAACAATATTACTTCGTTTATGGCAGGACGTTTTCCGTAACCAATAATATTTACTATTCAATTTCTTCCTAATTTCTCATGCCTTTTTGTTGGCAATATATCTTATTTTGTCCAGTTGTTGGTACAGAATAGACGGATCACACTGCCTGTCGAAAAAGAGATGGGCCAGATACATCTTATCTTCTTCTTCCGATATCTTTCTGCGTTTATTCTTAATAAGTCTTGCTAGGAGACTTCGTTCCATTCGAGGTAATAGCGTTCGAACTTCTATTGGAAATGCTTGGTATTTAAAAGAAATGCACTTGGGGATTAGTCCGTTCTTTCGACATTTTAGTAAAAACCAAAGATGGGCTTTTTGTCTCAACCACGACGTTCTGGTATCCAATAAAGCAAAGAAGTGTTTTTTAGTTTCCATGAATGAAATTGTAGTTCACTTCACGCCACGTTTATAAATTAAAAATTTGACACTTCCGTGTTGCGGCGTTATTGACAGCGATTTGTTAAATTTCAGACGTGCTCGCTAGTACTTTCAACAGTTTACAACCATCGTCTTCAGGCGAAATCGAATACCTTTGTTTTCGAATTGACAGCTT